ATCTTCCCTCCCACATTTACTGCTGGAGCAAGAACTAGATCCGCATCCGTGGGACTGGAGCCCTTTGTTGAATTAGTAACAGAAAACAAACACGCACAACCCAAAGGAACAAAGAGCAATGCTGTGTCTCAGGAGTGTGGAAAACCTCAGAGTCAGGCTGGATCCCAGCTCTGACCCTGGCAGGGCTCTGGCCTGTGCCTGAGCCAGGCAATGGCTCTGGTTACCCAGGGGGAGAGACGAGAGAATGCAGTGGAAAAGCCTCCAACAACGAGGAACGAGTGTGTACACTGCCAAGAAACACTTCCCACCCCTCCGCTCTTCTCTCCCTGATCCCCTCTTTTCCTGATTCCTTCCATCTTCCCTCTGTTTGGGGGGGTAGTGGGTTAAAATGGCTTTTGTGGAGTAAACCAAAACATGACCACAAAGCAAAGTAACCTTATTCATTTACTTATTTTCCTTGCCACTCTGGACAGCGGTGGAGATTAGACTTGGAGTCTCCCTCTCCCAGAGCCAGTGCTGCACCGCGAGAGCCAGATCTCCATTCTTTCGCTTTTAGTTTAGTGTCTGAGATTACAGGTGTGAGCCACTATGTCCAGCAATAAAGTAACCTTTTTCCAAGGTAAATACTGAATATTGAACATAAATCACAGGAAAATGCACTCTTAAAATAGAGTTTGCTTACCAAGAAAACAGGGGATGAACAGAGTAAATTGTCCTATTTAAAATATTTAGCTTTCCAGGCACCAGTGGCTCACACCTATCATCCTAGCTACTCAGGAGGCTGAGATCTGAGGATCATGGTTCAAAGCCAGCCCAGGCAGGAAAGTCTGTGAGACTCTTATCTCAATTAAGCACCAGAAAACTGCAAGTGGCGCTGTGACGTAAGTGGTAGAGCTCTAGTCTTGAACAAAAGAGCTCAGGGACAGCACCCTGGTGCTGAGTTCTAGTCCCAGGACTGACAAAAAATAAAAATAACAATAAAAGATAAGAAATAAAATAAATTTAGCCTTTGGTGAAGAATCCACACTTCCCCACACCCCACACTAGCTTAACACAATTATCCCCATGTTAATAAACATGTGTGTGTGTGTGATTTTTTTTTATTACAATTGTCTCTAAATAGTGGAGTTTTTGTGGGTTCTTTTGGATCCGGTCGTGGGGTCTGATCTCTGGGCCTGGGCGCTGTCCCTCAGCTCTTCAGTTCAAGGCTAGCGCTCTACCTCTTGAGCCACAGTGCCACTTCCGGCTTTTTTCATTTTGCTTATGTGGTGCTGAGGAATCAAACCCAGGGCCTCAGGCATGCAAGGCACGCACTCTACCACTGAGCCACCTTCCCAGCCCCAATAGTGGAGCTTTTGTCATCGTGACTGTTCAAATCAAAAGGTCACACTGGCAGAGCTTTAAAAACCCTGCTAATTTAAAGGTACAATGAGATTTGGTCTCCAGATTCCTCTACCTCAGAGATGACTTGCCCGTTGAGGCTGGTGTTCAAGGACATCACAAGATCGAATGGAAACTGGAAAGTCGTAGGCGTGGAATGTGCAGTGCAAATCGCTGGAGAACCCTGACCTCATTTCTACAACTTAAAAAGAGGATTATCACAGGAACAACGAAGTTCCCCATGAAATAATGCGTACAAACTTTGAGACAATACTGACAAGATTTACCTCGCGGAATAAGTTAGTAAGTGCATTCCGAATTTTAAGTGAGGATAAAATGAGAAAGCATTTCCAACTACCGACCTGGCAAGCGTCCCCTCTGGCGAGCACCCACTGGCTGCTGGCAAAACCGCATCAGTGCAGACAGCTGGGGTGGGGCAGGCGGTGGCCGAGGCGGCCTTTCTAAAATCATTTCAGTGACGGTGGTCCTTACCGCTGACTCCTGATTGCCAGAATGTATTCTGAGAGCGCAACCCAGATTTGACCAGATGGGCGATGTCAGCTGCAACAACTTAGAACAGAAAAACAAACTCCACATGAAAAGCGTTGTGATTCTGCCGCCGAGTATTGTTGAGGAAAGTCGTGCAAGAAGACATGCAAGCACAGTGAATGCACATTCATAATTTTATTTTCGTTCTATAAAAATGACCCGGGTGACTCTTTTTCAATACTCGTATGAATTTTCATGACACACATGGGATTGGAAATAAACACATAAAATTCTAACACCTGCTGTCACTAGGTGATGGGTTTATTCATCTTCTTTTGCTTTTCTCTCATTTTTTACACTTTCTCCAATTTTCTGTGGTGTCCAGGGTCTTCCATGATTATGAGTAAGAGATAAGGACAGAAAAGAACACATTCTAATGGATTGACATCAGAAGACATTTAATCTAGTAACTAACATAATCAAGTAACTAACATACATGTTTATCGTGAGTTTTTCCTGTTCCCATTAGCATACAACAGGAACGGCAGACAGAGGGTGAACAAATGCACTCATGGCGCTCGATAGACATGATGTGAACTATGAACTATGCCACTGTGTGCAGGACAGGGAGAGGCAACACAGAGGAAAGTCTAGGAACGGTGACCTTGTCCAAGAAGCGGTGTGCTCATTCCCTGACATACACGCTGACCCCTGTACCACTACCTAATAATAGCAATAAAGTCGGTTTTACTGTGACCTTGCACACATGCACAGAAGGTGCTTTCATGTTTGCTTAATCAAATTCCAGACCTGGAAAATTCAACTTTAGAGGAAGGTAGATTACTAATATGCAATTATTTCAGGATTGTATCCTACAGTATAGTCGTAGGCTGTGTTTGAAGTGTAAAATGTGGTTTCATAGAGGTATGACTCTTCATGGTGTGACCCGCCTATAGGTTGTAACCTCTGTACCTTGGTAATAGAGTGACACTTAGGACACCCATGACACTAAACTGGACGCCATGGAGCATCTAAAAAGTGCCAAATATATGTAATAATTCCAAAAAGTATCATTCATGATAGCAATAATGAAAATGACCCACGGGATGATTACAATACTTTCGCTGACTATGTGACCAAGAGAACTATGGGTGAGTTCAGGTCCATGTTGGTAAAGATGAACTTATCAGGTAAAACTGCTCGCTCAGCTTCGTGAGCTTGCAGTCTGTTGTGAAGGAGACCCACGAGGTAGTCAGGATGCAGAGCCGGAAGTTCTTAACAGAACATGGTGATCGTTTCCAAGTGAGCAGAGAAAGGCCCACCACCAAGAACCACCCAGCACCACCTGCAGGAGGTGCTATGTTCACAAATGACTTGGAGCCTGACTACTCAAAGACAATAAAAATGTTCCAACAAAATAATAATCCAGTCATTCAACATCAACAATTCTAATTCTAACTGAATAGTCCATAGACTCTGTCCAGGCAGCCCATAGAAAAGCCTACTGGGGTGCTATGGGGTGGTTTGTTTCCTGAGCACCCTCCCTGCCCACCTCCCCACCGAAGGGCTGGCTGGTAGTTTCAGCGCCTTTGTCCCCTGTCCCCAGCTCTGCTCTCCTGGTGTCAGCGTTATTCAAGTCCTTCTCAGAAGCTACTTCCTGCGCGTTCTCCTGGGCCAGCAGGTTTCTCCAACAAAGCCTTAGAAGCCGCAAACGGTGAACAGCTGCTCGAGGAAACTGCCTTTTCCCTTTGCACTTAAAATCTTTTCATTACTTTTTTAATAAGCGTCATGAAATGGCAGGTAATTCTCTTCTGTTCTAGAACTCAGAATAAAAACAAAGAGGAATTAGAAATAGGAACGGTTTAGCCTTTCCTCAAAGTCTGCCTGTGGGACGGTTCACAGCTGGGTCTGGCTTGCGTGGTGGGCTCCGTGAATTTCCTTAGGCCGCGACCAAAAGGAAGAGCTCCCTTCCCTGGCGAGCTCAGCCCTCCCCTGGGCCAGGCGGGAGGAGGCTGCAGGCCTGTGCCCTGGGAGTGGGCAGCGGGGCGGGGGAGGCTTCTGGAGGGGATGGCAGGCCCAGCCCCGGCCGGGCCCAGCTCCCACACTGTTGTTTGAGGGAACTAATGCGGAGCGAAGCCCTGAAGCAGCTCCTCAGGAGAAGCCTGACCCGGGAGGAGCCTCCTGCCAGGGCTTCCTTCTACCTCGTCTCCTCAGGGCAAGGCAGCCGGTCATACTCTAGGCCCAGAGAAGTCAGGGAAGCTACGGGAAGCTGCCAGGCTCAGAAACCCCCGCCCTTCCCCCACCCACCTCCTCCTGTCTTGTGTTTTCATTGTTTAAGAGCGCCTCCCTACTTCTGGACACTTCCGGATGCCTGTGCTAGCAAGTCCAGATACTCATTTCAGTCAGCAGACTACAATTCAGGCAAGGCGGTTCACTGTCTTCCCAGTGCCACAGGGGGCGGACACCAAAGGGGTCTGAGGTCTGAGGGCTGCAGGGTGAGCCGGACTCTTCTCTGAAACTCACAGTGAGAACCTGAGACCTTGCTGGAGAGTGGCTCACCTAGCAGGGTACCGGACGGATGCCATCCCCCAAGTCGAAAAGACGGATAAGTCAATGTAATGATAAAATGTGAAGGCTGACTCTGTAAGGCAGGGTCCCGGGTGCCGTTTGTATTGACTGTAGGTGGGAAAATTCCGGAAGAACCACGGCAGCTGAAATGATCCAGTGAATTCATGAGCAAATGAAAGAATAAATAAATGATCTGTATGTGTAGCTAATGTTTTCCTGCACGTAGCAAATTTTGGAAAATGAAGCCTCACTGCCCAGAAACGGAGAGTGCAGCGTGCTTGCACACCAGGGCACACCGATCGCGTGGGGAGAGCTTCCTCCCCTTCCCCACGGCACATGGGTTTGGCTGTGTGAGGAAACTGCACCCTGACTACTTGTCGCTTGCGACCCTGCTGCCGTGCATGGTGGTCTTGTGCTTGACAACCTGGCATTACTTATTTGCTGGCTCCATTACTTCCCTCCCGTGTCTCTTTGACCTCAGAGAACACTCCGGAAGATTAAACCACCCTCTTAAAATCGCCTTGGGTTACCCGCTAATGGCTTTCTTTCTTTCTTTCTTTCAGTGAAAAAGGCGATTGAACTGAAGTCGAGAGGAGTCAAGATGCTACCCAACAAGGACAGCAGCCGTAAGAACTCTGTCTGTAAGTTCACTTCCTTCTAGCTGAGGTGTCTGTGAGTTCACTTCCCTTCTAGCTGAGGGTGGGTTTGTCTATTACAGAGGGAAGCGAGCATAAGCAGAGCAGATCAAGAGATGCCATTCTGTATGGGGCGATTTTTACTTCCACTCCTACTTTTCTACTTTTCACATGTTCCTGGGAGAAAGGAGATTCAGGATCTTGACAGTGTTGGGGGGAAATATCCTCAGCGTATCTCAGATCTGCCATCCTGTGTCCTCCCCACTTTGGGGTGAAACATCCAGTTTCTCGGGGGACAGGAGCACCTGGGTCCTCTTTCACCTCAATGTCTTGCTCTCAGCCAGGCCCCATCCGTGCTCATCCCCCGCCCTGTGCACTGACACTAGAGAGAACTTGCTAAATAGGAATCTGCTCTCATCCTTTTTTTTCCCATGCGATGTTGTGATTGTCCGTGGCCTCAGGTAAAACCACGTCCTGTTGCTGGATCTAGCTTTGCTTTCTCCACAACACTATTCCAGGGGCTCCCGCCTGGCCTACCCACCAATCCACTGTCGGTACCGAGGCCCTGCCGTAAGCATTGGAGGGAGCCGAGGACCTAACCCCGCAATGGGGCGTGAGACAGTCTGTGTCCTTCGAAATCTGCGACTCAGCTCTTATCCTGAGCTTTGCCTCCCTCCAACATTTTTCTGGGAATGAGTCTCACAGCCAAGGTCCTTCAGATGAAATGGAACTGAACTATAGTGGGAAGGAAATTGGGCCTTGGTTTATACATCTACAGACTTCATATTTTCTCTGTCAAATCGTAGATCAAAGATATTCTGTAGAGTGGTGGACACAGTTTTGCCATCACTTTGAAAATCACTTTTTGTGACTGAAAATCCTGATCTAAGTCTCAGCATGGCCCCTCTGACTGCGCCAATGGCTTTCACTGTCTGAATACCGGGTCTGATATGGGATCGATCAGATGTCAATCCGTCTTCTGACACTGAGCCTGCTCACTGGGGGTGTTCCTTCTCTCCTTCCTCATCTGGACAGGAATTGAAAAATACATAAATGACTGGTTTGGTGTTGAAAGGGATCCGTACTGCCTTCGAATAGTATGAAGCTGTTTCGTGCAAGGCATTAGGGCTAGTTGTTCAAGAAGAGTTGCAGAGAATTAAGAAAAGGGGTGGAAGGACTTTTAAATCAACAGTATCATAAATAAAATGTGTGACTTTGTAGATGGTGTGGCTGTGAGAAACAAACGAAGCTTTTCATGGAGCACAGGACACGGGTTTTCAGGGAGAGACAGGGGTCCAGGGCTATGAAAGTAGGTACCTTGCTCAAGCCTAAGTGTCATCTGTGTAATCAAAACAGCGTCCCATTTCACAGGATTGTCCTGTGGAGAAGCTAGGATGATGCGAATTGCCAGTCCAATCTGGGAGGTGTAGTGGGTCATGCCCAGGAGGAATGCTTCACACACGGGAAGAAAGACGGATTGGTGTAAGCAGCGAGACAGCAGTGGGTTTCAGCAGCACAGGGTCTCGCTCTGCAGAAGAGAGGGAGCAAGTCACGCAGTGTGCAGCTGCTCCGTGCCTCGCAGCTGATGATTTTAGCTATTCAAGAATTCCTCGGTATCTTGATAAGAATGGGGAGGGGGGGTTGAGAGCCAGCAAGCCAGAGAGAGGGAGAGGAAAAGAGAGAGAGAGCTTGGCGTGGAAACTCTTTGCATTCTTTCTTCATGCCGTTCCTCACCCTGGATTTCCATGGCTGCCTGGTGACTTGGTTCTTTATCCACCAGTAATGAACGGCCATGCGGACACACGGCCTATTCCTTTCCTCAACACCCAATTCAGTTTGGTCTCTAGGTTTTCCCGCCCCTCCACAGGGCCTTGGCACCCACAGTGCTTGGCCATGTGCAGATTCAACCCAAGCCGCCTGTCTCTCCGGCCCCACAGGGGCTGACGGTCCCTCTAACTTGGGACTTCGGTGAAGCAGGATGAAGTATTCCAAAACTGTTCCTCGTCGGCTGACAGCCCCTCCAGCGCTGCCTTGGTTTACCCCTCAACGTTGCTCCTTCTAGAAGCCTGAATTATTCTGTTTGTTTGGGGTCTTTTCATCCTTTGGCGAATCCTCTCACGGGACCGGACATCCCTGGCCGTATTTGGACCCCGTGCCCTGAAGCACGCAGGCCTGGGCTGATGCAGCAGGATCAGCCCAAAACCTGAAACCACCGTAAGCAAGGCTGTCGGTAGGCGCCTGTGCATGGTTTTAGACGTTGACAACATCTCCTTGCTCCTCTCCTGGGTGACATGCTAGCAGCCTTCCTCGTGCGTGGAGACCAGGCTAGAGTAGCAAATTTCCATGCAGGGGCGAACGAAGGAAAGCCTTGTTGTTATTTTTGAGCTGCAGATTTTTTCCCCATGTAAAGTTAAACACAAATGACTTTACAAATGCAGTATTGATCCGTGGTAACTCATGGGGATGAATCGACAGCACAAGCTGGGTATTGAACATTTACTTACAACTGTTTACACCTCGCAGGGCAGGAAAGTTGAGTCTGGATCATTATTTAATACCAAGTTGCATTTTTAAGCGTAGGGAAATTGAGCGATGTGATGTCTTGCCTTATAAACTCTTGGGGAAATGACAAGTGGATATTGTGAGAACACTGCCCCAGTCCAATCACATTCGCCTTCTTGCTCTTGGCTTCCTTGCCTAGTCTATGGTGATCAATTTTTTTCTACCTTAAAAAACATACTTGAGGCAAAATAATACTCATTCCCACTCCCATATAAGCACTCCTGCTAATGAAAAGCAATGGATCACGGGTTGTCTTTTGTAATGGCACTCAGTAGTTCCAGTTGCCTGGGGCTTTTCCTTTGCAACAGACATAATTATGTAGAAGGGCAAATTTTAAAAACCTGTTGTTCCATTTATAGCCCCTCTGCAAGGTACAGAGTCTCCACTGCTCTCCAAACCTGTGCATAGTGTGCAATCACCATCTCCTCCACACAGCTGGACTGGCTCACCGCTCCCTCCCACCCCAGACCCTCCCTGGTGGCTCATCTCCGTACAGTGGAGAATCCTCTTTCCTGATGGTATACATTCTGATCTGCTGAGAGAAGAGGGCTTGCTCTTAAATCTTGTGTCATGTCTTGCCTCTGTGGCAGCTTGGGAGTTAAGCCTCCTTACTCCCAGTAGTGGGGTTCAGTCAGGGATAGGCCACAAAGTGAACCTCCTCCTCGTGAACTGATGTCCACAGAAGCCAAGCAGAAGAGAACATCGACACTGTGAACTTCCAACGCTAGAGCTGCCGTGGGAAACCTAGGGACAAACCCTCCCAGTCCTGGTCATCGAGTGCAGTGCTGTTTGATGTGACCCACCTCTGATGGGAGGGCGCAGCTGAGTTTGTTATCTTCATTCCTGGCCTCCGCCTGCCGTGTCTGCTGATCCTGAGTTCCAGCACGTGGACTGGCACTAAAACAAACAAACAAAACCAACCCTCACTGACTCTTCTGGCTGCACAGCGCGGCCTCCTCGCTACAGTCCAGGCTCCCTAGCATTTCCAAGGACACATGCGGGCCTTGCACTCAGTCCTCATCTCTCCTCTGTCAGAAGCGGTCCTTCCACAGGAGTCCCGTCTGTCTGTCCGTCCCTTCTGACCATGTATGAAACTCACCTCATCATCAACGCTGTGTGAGTTTCACACGCCTGGCTCGTTCACAGCTCTGTCTTCCGATACCTACTCGGTTCCAACTTTCTCCTTTATTCTAATACTTGTCTTTGCACGCATTGCACACATAGACAGCCCTATGCATGTTTCCCCCTTGCTCGCCTTCAAACATGCAATCTGTGAGTAGGGCTACTTTTATCTATTTTGTTCCCATTTTGTACCAAGTGCTTATCAGGGGGCAGAGACACAGCAGGGGCTGAGAAATCATGGCGATCTGAAGACGGAGTCACACAGTGCTCGGGTGATGCTGGAAGGAAGTCCACGGGGTGACCCTGCTTTTCTCCAGTGACACCTTGTCTGTTTACTCACTGAGCCACACCCTGAGGACCAGCCTGCGGCCACCATAGAAATCACCCAAATGCATCTTTTCTCGACAAGGAAGGGTGCCCACTGGTGTCTCGGAACTCTAGAAATAGGACCCAGAAACCTGTGAGTACTTGCTGCATAAAGAGTGCTCTCACAGAGGCAATGGCTGGTCTTGTGAAGACTGAGGCAACGCAGGAAGTTCCTGTCATTCAGGAAAGTAACACACAGTGGTCCATTCGGTTGAGGGTTCGTGGAGACTAAGGACCCAAGCCACATCAAACCTGGTGCAGGGTGAGTCAAGCTGTCAACCACCTGCGTCGTACCTCCAACACTAGACCACTCAAAGGTCCCACAGATGCCCTCCAGGCATGCGTTGAGAGAAAGAGGCCTGAAAGAGAGTCATGTGCATTTATGAATGGCTCACCAATGACAATAAAAGACAGTTATCTTAGGATTGCCAGGCTGTCTGTCTAAACGGAAATGTTTGAAGCACAAGAGAGGAATTGCTTTGTTTTCAAGTATGTGTCCTGTGGCGCTGGCAGTCCGTGGTTGGAGCTCACCTTTGGTCTGATTCTGTGCTCTTGGGACCCCCTGGACGAAGCTTGTTTTTGACATCTACTGCTGAACCAGTTCACGTGTGGCTGTGCCCTGCCCTGGGACCTGCCTGTGCTTTGGAAGGCCATTCTGCAGAGTCCAGCGGTGAGAGTGGACCAGCAGTCCAGCCTGCAAGTGCCCCCGACACAGAGCTGGGCAGGAAGCCCGGGTGTAGGGTGAGGGGCGAGGGCCACAGGAGGCCGGCACTGCCCCGGGGGTCTGCCCAGCAGGACCTCCCGTACTGCCCGGGTGTCTGCCCATCAGGACCTCCCGTACTTCCCCGGGGGTCTGTCCAGAACCTCCCGTACTGCCCCGGGGGTCTGCCCATTGGGACCTCCCATACTGCCCCGGGGGTCTGCCCAGTGGGACCTCCTGTCGCAGCCCCGGGGGT